GCTGGGACGCTCCTTCAAATGTCACTTGGGCAATTACCGGAAACACAGTACGTCACGCAAGAAGGTACACGACTACTTGTAAATGCCACAAGTGTGAGAAATGAGACAGGTCATCCGTTTGAAACCTCTCATGTAAAATCTTTTGCATGTTTTCTCTCTGACCTCACAGGCAGCTCGAATGAGACGGACAGCTGAAAATGATAGCGATACTGCATCGTGCAGCACAGTGTGAATGTGAATGTGTGCGTGTGTGTGTCCAGTTCAGGTTACATCATCACAAATCGGCTTCACTCGCAGCTGAGCACAGTTTTCATCACTGTTGAGGTATGTGTCATTCTGTCTCAGACCCACAGAATATACTTGACACCGTATCAACTGATATGGCAAGCTTACTTCAAGACTTACTATTTAAGGAGACTAAAAATATATATAAACCAAGTCAAAGAAGGCAACACAGAGATGAGAGAGAAGGGCACTTGAAGATTTATATTTTACTTTCTTGTTCTATGTGCAAAGAAACTCTCAAATTTAAGATGATTCCTTTTTGACAACAAATACACAACAGTAGTTTCTCAGCTTGTCTTTAGCCTCTCTACCATCTCCCTTTTTTCCTCGCACACAACCAATTTAAAGCTCACTGACTTGCAGCTTTGTACTAGGAAGTCTTGTCCAAAGTCATCACACTAAATAACCTGATTCTGAGGCAGGACTGCCTGGTTGACCCAGAAAGTCCCTTCACAACTGGATGAGCTAATGGACTCCAACACGAAGAGACCAGATCGTCAGGGGATCGCTCGGCTCAAAACACACAACGCTAATAGTTCATAAGTGTACAGTTTAGCACAAATCTGTACTGAGGTGGCTGTATTTCCAAAACACTCAACATGCCATTTGGATCCTTGCTGTTGATGTTTTAGTTCAGTGGAACATTTCTGCTTTTCAAACTGGAGCTGCTGAAAAAGAATTCCTCTATATTGGGTGTATTTAACCGGCAGCATCTTATAATATAGGTATCTTGGGCACCAAGTCAGGCTCATCATACTCATGACTTTGCATATGGAGAAAGGAAAGCAACCGAATTGTCACTGACTCATGATTCTCCTGCAGAGATTGCATGTTCATTCAATTTCTAAAGGTTGGTTGGGAACTCATTAACGGTGCACAAGACGTAGACAAGAAGATTTATATCACTCATGTCTGTACGGTAAATATGGAGCTATGATTAGCAGCAAGCTAACTTTACTGGCCACACTGTTCATTTGGAGGTTCCCAGTCTGGCAGAGTCAGCTAATAGGACCGCTAGAGCTGCATGGCGTGGAGAGAGGGCGTAATGCTCATTCATCCTGCCCTTGCTGCCTGTTTTTTACGAGCCCATTTTGCAGATAGCACTCCGCTTCCCATTGCATTTTTGCGTTTCAAAAGGGTTATATGAGAAGCCTCTTTATATGCAAGTCATTGGAGTTGATGATGCACATGACAAGAACATTTCTCTGGCTGACATGTGATGCTAAACTTGAAGCAGTGGAACCAGTAAAAGTAGCGAGACTGGAGGAAGGACTGTGCGGAACGTCGTGTTAAAGTGTTAACGGTCGACAGGTGGGAAAGAACACAGTGAGTAGAGAACAGGACACTGAAACACGATGGCGTGAACTTAAAGAGGCGTGTTTATACGTTTAAGAGAAAGAGTGATGAAGAAATGATGAGCAAGAGCAAAAAGAACAGAAACGGGGAAACGAAATTAAGGAAAAAGCAGCAGCTGAACTTTTAAATCCACCTGTTCTCTCTTTCTAACACATACTCACTGTCACAATCACACCCGTCACATTCCAGAAACCCAAAACCCTCTCAAAAATTTACGAGGTGTTTGTCATATGGTGAGTGTGTAGGCTAAATGTGTGCGTGACTTAAACAACATTATGGCAGAGATGCAGCACAAGGTCAATGTGTTTTTGAACTGAAGAAGCTTTTAGCTTATTTTCCCCCTACTTTAGTGTAACTTCAGGTTGCAGCTGAGCTCAACTTCAACAGGGTTCTCACTCTTTTTAAGAAATCATTTAAATTTTCTTGACAATTAAATTTCCAGGTGTTCTAGGACTTTTTCTAGGATGACCTGAACCACTAAACTACTGATCACCCTTCTAAACCTGAAAACATTACCAGTCAAAAGGGAGAAATGCCCTAATTGTTAAAATCTTAAAAACGGCACTGACCTATGCCCGGTATCTACAGCTGCGATCTCTGCCCTGTATCTACAGCAATGACCTCTGTCCTGTATCTGTTTGTGTTAATTGTATGTTATGTTTAACAACAGCTTATTCTGCTGCACCAAAGTGACCAAAAAAGCACAAAAAAAACAAGCAAAATTACTAGTTTTATTTATCAACACAGGGTTTAAAATAAAAAATTAAAAAATGCCATATACACTATGGTCAGAATTTGGACCTGAAAGATTTGATTTGTAATTTGCTAATGAAGACTTGTGACTTGACTTCGACTTAAGGATTTGCTGATTAGCATTATTAAGGGGAGGTATCTTTATAAGCCATTTTTTGGCTTCAAACCTCTCCTGCACATTGTTATAAATTATATTGTGTAGGTGCAAATAAAAAATAAATAAAAGAATTAGAAACCATACCCCCAAGAAAGTGCCCAATGTTGACACATATTTACATTTAGGTAACAACGCCCTATAGTAACTCTTTTCTGTAACTCTTTTCAGAAAAGTCATTGTGGAGGTCAGCTACAAACAAATAATTTTGTCTCTAATTTAAAGGACTTGTTGACTAAGTAGCTGTTCGTCAGCTGCGAACACCACAGAATTGAATCTGCTGACTCAAAATGACACGTCATCATAACTTCAACCTTTGCCACCAATGTGAGACAGAGAGGTGATGGCTAGAGATCCAAATGAACAGCTCAAATATAGACGACAGGCTGGCACACGAATATAAATCATAACAGAGCACCAACGAGGAATAGAAACACCCCAAAACCCTGTATGTGTGTGTGGCTGTAAATCAGGCTTTATATAAAATGTGATACAAGCATCAGATGACAGAGCTATGATATAACCTGAAAATAGAGACAAGGAGGACATGGAGGTAAATCAGATTTACTCTCTCCCATAATGGCCTCAAGGCATGGGATGGTAACACACACACACACACACACACACACACACACACACACACACACCGTCCGAGGAAAACTATTAAAAGCTTTGTTTGGAATTATTGGTTTGGTTTCACCATTCAAGACATCGTACAACCAAGGAAATAATCGCTGTTAGTATTTTATTTTACATCAAGCATGACACCTTTTTCTTTAACACTAATGGAAAGTAGAGTCACACAAATGCAAATGCTTTATGGAAGACACCGAAGTTGGAAAGCTGAATCCCTGCACAACCTCACATTTAAAGATGGATATTGTTAATTCAAGAATTACAATTATAAGATCCCACTTATCACTGTATTGCTCTCTGATTATTGGTGAAACAACTGTCGATATATAGAAAATACTATCCTAGTTGTGGAAGAAGTACTAGGATCTATTATGTCAGTAAAAGTTGCAATACCACAGGGTATACATAGTCTGTAAAAGGCATGGGTTAATTATTAATGAATTATTTTCTTAAAGGTCCAGTGTGTAGGATTTATTGGCATCTAGCAGTGCTGTTACAAGTCACAACTCCATCACTTCACCCTCACCTTCCAAGCATCAATAAAATCTGGAAAGTAAGTAAAGTTGTCAAATAAATGTAATGGAGTAAAATTATAAAGTAGAAGTAGCAGAAAACTGAAACACTCTAGTTTTCACCATAATGGGTCTGTGGCTTTGGCATAGTTTTCCATCTTTAGTGGCCAGTGAATGAATGGCTGTGTGCAGGAATGAATGAGTAAATGACTGAATTATCTTGTTTATGTATATATATATATATATGACTGCAAGAATCAGTGAATGAATGAATTAATGATAGATGGCTGAATGGATGAATTAACGAATGAATCTCTCGGTGAAGAACAACTGTGACCTAAACCACATCAAACAAACTGAAATGAATGAAATCAGACTGGCAGACTAACTTGAAGGAAAAGGTACTACATCTTTCATTTCCTGAGTTATAAACAATAACAAATCCATAAACACTTTTGCTTTGCGTACTTCTCTGTATTTAGTTTGGATCACATAGGCCTCAAGCAATTATAGCTGGTCCCATCACAAGCTGCCATCAGCCAAAACTGAGCAACATGTGTTTGTCAGTTCTCTGTTCCCGGACAGTATGTATGATATGCATAGCTGAAGAAAACTTTTAAAGCCTTGGATTTAGACAGATGAGGTGCCCACACACACATAGATAATACTCATACACACAGTTGTCTTCTTGTTTTAGCTATAGGGCCAGTGGGACTAGCAAGGGTTAATACCATAGGACTATTTCACACTTGCTAATTGCTCCATATGCACACATGGCCACAGAGGAATGTAGTTCCCTATAGACTCACTGTGGATGGAAGACAACATTTATCAAGGTTTTGACAGCTGACACAACAACAAAGGAAATCACTGTGAAGATTTCATCATGCTTATTTCCTGAACCCTCCGCTGGCAGCATCACAGACGCCACCACAAGGTGATTTGATTTCATGTCAGTCCGTCTGTCCCGACAGAAGCTAAAATCTGCTTACTAGTTAAAACTTTTTCTCTCTTTTAGTTTCTAGAAGAATTAAAAGTTCTCATTCCTCCCTAAGTCAGCTATTTCCTCATGTTCATTGTGTTTCTTAAAGCAAATAGGTATTTAAATAAATATGTATCAAGATTGTCACATAAGCTAAAGTAGGGGAAAATTAGTACAACCTGGCTGGTTTCAGTACACCTTCATACAACTCCTGCTGTACTCGAGTGTAAAGACATTAATAAAACAATGTCAAAGTGAGTTGCATGCAATGTTGGATTACTCTCTTGCACACAGATAATAACACAAAGATTTTTGTCCTCACCGGCATGCAGGGTTGATGGCGTTGTTGCTGTTTGAGATGTGGTTGGTTTTACCCGCAGCCACGTTAGGGGTGCTGGTGTTGATCTTTGGCGTTTTCGGGTGAGCTGCGTCCGCTGAGCCCTGTTGCCGAGAGCCCCGGGACTTTTTCTCCTCCAACATGGCCAAAAGTACACATACAAATACAAACACACAGATGTATATACAGCGCACACTTTAATCTGTCTCGTCTTCAGTCACACACATGGACACATACACGTCTACTTTTGAGTCAGTCAGGTTTGTTGGTTGGTAAGCGTGTCAAATCCAAAGATAAGTCCCAAAATGAACAAGTACATAGTGAAGAAGAGGACTTTTCTCTTGCTATTTTGTTTGAATTATTTCCATGTTTAAAAGGAAGGGTTTTTAATCCTCAAGTTTTTTCCAAATGTCATTTGAGATGAAAGAATTCCTGAGGTAGGAAATCCTCCCGCAGTTGTGGAAAATTAAGGCAGATCCACTTCCACAGCGGGCTTGCAACAGATCATTAACCTCCGATTGTAATAGTGGATGAAAAAACAAACGCAAAAACAAAACAAAAAATAAACAAATGCAAGAGTCTGAAAATCTTTCCAGTTCCCCAAGTCCTTTGATATTCCCGTATTAGGGAATTTCAGGCGTCCCAGAACCCAGGTGTTCAGGAACTCAAGTGTTTCAGATTTCTGATGGCTCTTAAAGCCTTTAGTAGCTCAGCGGGATTTGAGTCGAGACTGAAACGCTGCCCGGTACTATACCCGTCCCTCTGAGCCAGCAGCTGGAGAGTGGGAGAGAGAGAGAGAGAGAGAGAGAGGGATAGAGAGAGAAGGAAGCAACCAAGAGAGTCTTGAGGGCAAGAGAGGGTGAATAAGACATGCGTGTGTGTAAGTTCTAATAAAACGAGCAAAAAAAACCCAACAAAAAACACTTATTAGTAAGTTTTCCTTGTGCTGTTTTCTAAAATCCAGTCGTGCCAGCACAAGGAAGCATGGATTCCGGAATTTCAGGCATCCGAGAATCCAGGTGTTCCGGAACACCAAAATTTTTGGATTTCTGAGTATTCCGGAATTATTTCATTTTCTCGGAATAATTCGGGAATACTTGCTTCCTTGTTGTGGCACGTATGTAATTTAGATAATTTCTTGTACACACACTAATATCTCAACTCTTCAAACAAACAGCGTCCTAGCCGTTTGTCTTGGGAAACTTTTCAGAGTTGACATACACAGAAATAAATTGACAGGTGTGTTAATAAGCTAACAATTAGCCTGTTAGCAAAAACCTATTTGGCAATAAACATGATTCTGATTCTAGTTAGGCGATTGGTATTTGCTCGCACTATTCAATTAAAGACATTTCTTATTTTGGATTTGGAAACCATAGGGAGACTCAAGACCAGTGGCCACCGCTATTGAGGTTCCACAACATATAGCGGAAAAGGCATCAGGTCTAATATATGACACAGATTTTAGTTGACGAATTGTTAATACTTTTTTTATTCTATTAGGTATACATGTTTACAGTTGGAGAATGTAATAAGCACTTTAGGCCTACAACAATATTTTCATTTCCATATAATGTCTTTTTGTCAAAACCAGAAAAAGCCACTGGGGAGAGGCTTGAGAGCAAGATGTGGCTCCGGAGCCCTTCACTAGATAAAAAGGTCATAGTGTCACCAAAGGAAACAGGTTTGTTGCATTCTAAAGCTTTGGGGAAATAAAGTTGATCAATGTAATGAAAAGGACTGTGAAACTGTACTGGGCTCTGATGGAGTCCACTACCTCACTGCCCCACTGAATGGAGACCTCTAGTGGTTCTCAGCAGTAAGTACAAGCAGAAAAGTGGAAGGGCACCCTGGAAGCTCACCTGGTAGAGCATGTAGCACCTACCAGAGTCCTGCAGTGGCCTTGGTTGGCCCCTTTCCTGCCTCTCTGTCTCTCCCTGTTCTCTCTCTGTCTCTCTACTGTCGAGTGAACCAAAATGTCAAAAAAAAAGTTGTTTATTTACTTCTTAAACACATTTAAAATTTAAAAATATAATGTGAATTTAAAAAAAAAACGTACTAATGTAGTCTTTAAATATGTTGCAATAAAAACAATTTAAGCACATAAAGTTAAAGTTGTAAAGCATAAATAATAAAGAATAAAAATAATGTATGAAGCTCACTCATTTTTTTCTCAATTCTCATTTGTTAACAGTATTCTCTGTAGTTAGTGTTTGTTTAAGTTTGTTTTTACCTACTTATTTGTAACCTTTACCTGTCTGCAGGTGTCCGAGGAATTAATTTTACTGTTACAACCGACCAACTTTTTGGTGATTCATGCATGCTGGTTTTAGCTTTCGGGGACCAACAGGGGCCATTATTTACTGAGAAGGTTCACTGTGAACTCAAAAACAAGAAATGTTACTTTAAATATTGGCGGTCTTAGTTTCTTGTATATATTTTGTATTGGAAACACTAAATATTCAGTATTTCATTGACAAAAATCACCACAACCCGTCATACATATCACCTATAATTGAAAATAAGAGACATTTGAGTCAGAGGACCTTGTTAAAAGTATTACTTTGCTTCACATTATACAAAAAAAAACCAAAAAAACAATCCATCCACCGGAATAATATTGACAAAAACATACAGTAGTAGTACATCAGTACAATGTAGTGCAACATGTTTCACAGTCAGCGGGTACTTACATTAATCAGCCACAAGGGAAGCAACAGCTCTGATAATTCTGTACAGACCAAAAATAATCAACATCCACTGAATATATATTTACACTTTAACAGAGAACGAGACACGAACAGGTTTTAGTAGCGTGTCAGCTCGTTTCAGTTTGATTCAAATAAGACGGATGTGATTTAAAAAGAGAGAAGATAAATAAATAAACCAATCCCTGTGTGTGCTTCAAGTGGTTTGTATCAGTGACTCAAACAGGTAAAACTTGCAGGTTTCAGTTTAAAAGCATTTAGCGGAATATGAAGAGTTTACTTCTGAAGTATGTTATATGTTGAATTATCATTTTGTCAGCCTAGAACTTTTAAGTATCTTTGATATGAAAAACACATAGGTAAATTAAAGTGAATGCCCCTAAATCCCTGTGTGAGATGATCTGAACGCTGACATACTAGACTAACTTTCAAAAAAATATAAAGAAAATGATGCCACTTACTCTGAACTAATGCCCGTCTATCGTCTCTGCTTTTTTTTTACCACAAGCATGTTTTAAATATTGTGAAAATAGCACATTTTAATCACACATAAACACTCCTCAGGATGTAAGAAAGCCCTCCTGCGTGAATAAAACATTTACAGCAGTTAATTCAAGCACTTAACCCTAATAATCTTTCCATTTAATGAGCAATGCCCCCAAAAACAAAACGCATATGTGATTCCTTGAAACATAAAACTGTATTTAAATGATATGTGCACTTTGAGTTTATGTGGTTATTGAGATGTTTTCGGTACTCTGTGGTTTGTTCATATGGTGATCCCAAAAAAAACTGACTGACTGAAGAGATTTCTTAAACAAATCAGCTTCAATTTGAATGTAATCGCTGAAGTATCTGTTAAAAGAATAGTTTGGGAAATACACTTATTCACTTTATTGCCAAGAGTTTGATGAGAAGATCGATACCACTCTCAGGACTGTGCATTAACTATGGAGCTAATAGCTGTGGCAGCAAATTTACTATTACAGACGTAAGAGAGGTATCTATCTTCATTGTCTTCAGTGTCATTTATTTTATCTTTTAATTCTCATTTTGAAAGCAGTAACGTGGGATTCACTTGAGTTTGGAACAAACCCTCTTCAGTCTGGATTTACAGAGAGAATAAGAAGTGACAGAGAATGAAGAGTCAAAGGTTGAAATGAATTTCATTTAAAAAAAAACAAAAATAAGCTTGTTTCGTCCCTCCAACAGTTTGATTAGGATTCATTATTGTTTTGCTCCCATTTGGTATGAGTACACAACTTAAACGCCAACTAAAACACCTCCTGCACTGCGTTCATCCCTCAAAACAAACCAAGGCTCCTCTGATAAAACAGTTTACCTGAATCTTGTTACTTTTTTTTTTATTTCTCTTGAGGAAACAATGAATCCTTATAATTCTGGGGCACAAAAATGTTAAATGTACCCTTTTAAAAGATATTGTTGTGAACATAACAGCTGCTGGCAGCTCTAATTGAAAAATAGCACCATCAGGCTTCGAAACAACATGTTAGTCCAACTTAGAAGAAATCTACGGGGGCAGAAACTAATATTTCAAGTTTTTCTTGCTCTCTTTTGTTCAGCCGGTCTTTATCTCAAACACACTTTTAGTTTTATCCATTCATCAAAACGTGTAAAAAAAAACCTAACCCTGATGCGTGATGGTGAATTGAAGACACTGGAGAATAAACTCCATGTCTTTGACAAACTGGCAGCTCATATTTATGATAAATCTAATTTAACATGGAGTTTTATTTTTAATATCTCAAATACACCTACTAATCTCTCTTTGTCTTCACTCTTCGGCAGCTTTTGTTCACTTTCTCTGTGAAATTTAGTAACGGGGACTCACGGATTCCTTCATCCTCATCCTCTAGCCCTCTCACCCTCCTTCCTCCCTTTCCTCCCCCCCCCTCCCCCTTTCTCTCTCCTTCCCTGTGTCTACGTGATGTTGGATATGGGGTCGCTGATTTTCAGACACCTCCAGTAGATGGTTCTCGCCATGGTGAACAGGGCGAGCAGGATCAGCAGCACCCACGAAACGTAGATCCCTTTAGAGTTCTGGGCGGGTTTCCACGTGCCGACCTGAAGGCAGAGACGTAGATGTTAAATGTTTCTGAAGCAGAAATCTGAGCGGCTACAGGAGGATTAAAGGAAGAGAAGGTAATCATATTTTTTCATTAGGACTTTGAGCTAAATACTTTCACCTCTTTAGGCCTCGAAAAATCAATCAAATGAAACAATATGAGAAGGAGAAGTAACTCTTGGCGGAGGTAACAATCAAATCAAAACTAGTTTGATGTACTACCAACAATTTAGGAGTTCTTCCAAGTAATTACAAACTGCAATTCCTCAAATAGCGTCACACACTCACCACGAGTCCGGCAGTGGAGGCGACGAGGACGACGAACAGCAGGAAGCACAGCAGGCTCCTCCTCCTGGGGTACCGCCGACCAATAGAAGAGCTGGAAATAAAAGCCAGAAGATAATGAATCGGTCAAAACAAAAGTGTTTCGGGGGACTGTTTTGTCACAAGACGGAGGAGGTTCACACACACACACACACACACACACACACACACACACACACACACACACACACACACACACACACACACACACACACACAAAGAATTGCTGAGGCACTTACACTTTTCTGCAGTGTGGACATCGGGCCAAGGTCCTGTCTGAAAACTCCGTCCACTGGAGGAGAGAAAGAGGAAGTGTGAATCAGTCGATGACTGCGGGATTAAAACTAAATAGAGAAGTGAAATTTGGCGGTCAGTGTTGTCATCTCTGTGTGTGTGTGTGTGTGTGTGTGTGTGTGTGTGTGTGTGTGTGTGTGTGTGTCCTACCAGGAATGTATTGGAGCAGTGTCCGCAGATGATCCGGATGCCAACGGGCTGATGCTGTGGTTCAGGACTGTCCCTGCCGATGTGAACTGGGCCCAGGTTGATGACGCGTTTACTGGCAGAAGAAAAAAAAACAATTTTAAGTAAGTACGAAACTAAAAGCTGGTGGTGTTACACTTTCACACACATTTTCATATGAGAAAATTAAACAGAATTTTGTGCATCCACACTTTTATTTGCAGGAACCTGATTACAATGAGTTCTCCTTTCACTAGGGCTGGATACCAATACTTTTTTTTGTTTGTTTGCCAGCTTTACACTATTGTATTTAAGGTGTTGTTTCTTTGGTATAAAGACACCACAAACAAACCACACACACTGGGTCCTTTAATTCTCTTTTCAGGCGTAAAATAATTCCTCAGGCCGGCTGTACAAGTAGAATTCAACAGCAGCTCCTTCACACGATCACACCCGTGACTGTATTTTGCTGAATGGCTGGTGGGTGACGAGCTCCTTCTGCACAGATGGTGCGATTACAAGGCAAAGCTGAGACGGGTGAAAAATAATCCCACACTTGTTTTCTATGTCTCACCAGTACGGTCTTGGACAGGCGATCCTCTGCGACGTGACTTTGCAAATCAGCAGACAGTTGCACGGACAGCGGACATACTTCTTTCCGACAGGAGCGTTCTTTATTGGCTACGGAGAAAAGGGACGAAGACACAAAAAGAGAGGACGGATAAGAAACCTAAAACAACTTTTTTTTTCAGTTTGAGTGTTCGGGGTTTTTTTTTTCATTTTTGAGTTTTAAAATAGTTCTCAGGTTTAATTTCCATCTAATGAGCAGAAATCTTGTATATCATCTCAGCTGAGACGATGGGAAAGCTTCTTGAGAGCGTGTCTGGTTGGTGAAATGTGACACCCGATACAACAGTCTGATATTTTATGGTTGCAGGCCGCAGTCACTCAACCTTTTAGACGTTTTAAAATCTGTAAAAACATCTCAAACGTGGTAAAAAGCCTACAAATCGTCAATCTATCCTGATGCGTTAATGTTTATTAGATAAAAAAACTGTTATTAACACTAGTTACTAATAATTTAAATGCTGCAGTATGACGCAGAAATACAGGAATCAAAGCACACCGTGGTTAAAAGCTAGGTATAGAAGCAAAATCAATACTCTTAAACACAGAAACACTGGAAAAACAAGGTGGACAAGTGGGATAAAATGTTTTGTTTCACCATTTTATGCTCGGGCAACCCTGAATAGTTGTTTATTCAGGGTTTCGGTGCCAAATCCATTAGTCAAACGTCCCGTGTCTGGTTCCACCTCGGTATGACTCACCGTAGCTTCGTTGCAGATGTTGCACTTCACCACGTGCTGGTGCGTTTTGCCCTCCACGGATATGGAGCTCTGGCAGACCCGGCAGCTGATGACCGGAGCGCTGCCGCTGTCCGGGCTGCCCTGCGGCGAGTAAGGGGGCGGAGGCTCGCCTTGGACCACCGAGCTGGGGAACGGCACCAAACCTAAAAGAGAGGGACAAAATAATAAATAATAACGTTGGCGATACTTTGATTTTCCATCGAGGAACATCATACGGTCAAAAAATGACACTCCCATCAGCCTCCACTGGACTGTTTAGTTGTTACCATTCACAGTATAAGTGGAAACCTGCATTCTTTTGTAATGGCCAGTCATATAGTATTGATTCTTAGGGAGAAATGAGCCGACTTCTCACTCGATTTCTGAGCTCAGTAAACAGTTTCCTAATGAGTTTATGGCCTCAATCTCTAGTTTTAAGTCTTCTTCCATACAGCATTAAGTTCATTTAGTGAATTATGGTCCTATTTCAGTCAATTTACTCTGCGTATGAAGACACACAGACGGTTTTAGAGCAGATCTATTGATTGAAACTGGTGGTTCCACTACGTCCTACAACCTTAATGCCACATTAAGTCGTAATAATGAACAATCAAACAATCTGCTTACAGTGAGCCACGTATCGGTACAATTATATCAGCTATCACGGCGTTATCGGTGAGTGACACACCCAAAGGCCAAACTTTATCCACTGTACGACGGGAAGGGAAGGAAATGTGGATTTAAGATCACAGTTAAGAGGAAAGAGGTAATTCAGAGAGTAAGAAAACCAAATAAGGAGGCAGACAGTTGCAGCTTGAAAATGAGCGAGGGCCTGATTATATACCTTGTTTATTTGTTGTTCTATTGATTAACTGACTAATCTTTCAGTCTATAAACACACCAGGAAGCAGTGAAAAGGCCTGTCGCATGATCTCAGAGCCAAATGTGGCGTCTTAAGTTGCTTATTGTGTCCAGGAGTTGTTTCATTTCACACTGAAGAAGAAAGCCGCAAATCAAAGCTGATTAAAAGTGTTCTGATGATCAGATCAGATTAATGACAGATATATATAAAATGTAAATAGTTACAGCAAACAGAGATCCTGGCTGAACTCTGACCTTTTAGTCCACAAACCAAACTGACCCCAAATCAGTTTTTAAAACACTGACTTTAACTTAATATCACAAACTGTGGTGTGTTTACGGTTTGATGTGTGTGTGTGTGTCCCTACACTGTGGCAGCCCGACAAAAACGTTCATAAACTACATTTTAAGAAACATTAAATGTGTGTAAAAAGGCTTTTAACTTCATTATCCAACAGCTAACGTTAGCCAGCTAGCACGCAAACTACGGCGAACCCCTTTGTTTACAAGTTGCCAACGTCGTTTAAACTACGAACTGAAGAGGCTCCAAGGCGCCGCTGTGACACACGGACAGCGGACATACTCTGCGGTTTGGACGGGTATCCTCGGGAGCTGCCCCCCGGAGGAGAGAAGCCGGTGGTCCCGTCGTGCTGCTCGGACAGCAGCGGCGACCGTTCCCCGTCCGCCATCGCTCTCCGCGGGGCTCCGGCCTTCCGAAACGCCGTGGAGGAGAGTCTGTGCCGCGGGGGGGGAGAGTCCTTCAGATCCCCGGTGGAGGTTTCCTGGAGGAGTCGCTGAGCTGATTTCAATTCCCCCCCAGAAGAAGAAGCCTGTCAGTCGGGGGTGGTTGACGTCCACATGACACGGCGAGAACGCTGGAAGGCGGAAGCGGAGTAACAAAAACATCAGTCACATGACTTGTGGTCTGAGTCACGGCGGTGGTTGACAGCGGGCTCGGCCAATGAGCGAGCTCGGTTGGGGAGAGTGGGCGGGCTCAATGGGGCTGGTTGAGTGTCAGGGCCGCGTTCGAACACTAATATGGGGAAGGTTATATAGGAGGTCCCCAGTAAAAGGAGGAAGTCACTATTTAACCTTTTGTTATATTTTATTAAAGATGGAACAAGTTAAGAAATAAGATTTAAGATAAGAGTTTCCCCCTTTTTTTATTAAAAGTACAAATTACATGATTAACATATAAGGACAGGGAGACATATGACACATGACAAGGCAACAAGGAAACAACCTACGACGGAGTATTAGGGGAAATTACGATAAAGTCATAATATTACGAATAAAGTCATAAATTACGAGAATAAAGTCGTAACATTACGAGAATAAAGTCATAAGTTACGAGAATAAAGTTGTAATATTAGGTCTACGAGAATAAAGTCGTAACGTTACGAGAATAAAGTCGTAACATTACGAGAATAAAGTCGTAACGTTACAAGAATAAAGTCATAAGTTACAAGAATAAAGTTGTAATATTAGGTCTACGAAAATAAAGTCGTAACATTACGAGAATAAAGTCGTAACGTTACGAGAATAAAGTCGTAACGTAACGAGATTAAAGTCGTAATGTTACGACAATAAAGTCATAAATTACGAGAATAAAGTCATAATATTAGGTCTACGAGAATAAAGTCGTAACATTATGAGATTAAAGTCCTAACGTTACGATAATAAAGTCATAATATTAGGTCTACGAGAATAAAGTCGTAACATTATGAGATTAAAGTCCTAACGTTACGATAATAAAGTCATAATATTACGATAATAAAGTCGTAATGTTACGATAATAAAGTCGTAATGTTACGACAATAAAGTCATAAATTACGAGAATAAAGTTGTAATGTTACGAGAATAAAGTCATAATATTAGGTCTACGAGAATAAAATCGTAACATTATGAGATTAAAGTCCTAACGTTACGAGAATAAAGTAATAAATTACGAGAATAAAGTCGTAAAATTTTTAGATTTTAGGGATTTTAATGTGCAGAAAAATCAGAAAGACGCAGATTATTTGTATATGTCTTAAAACATGACTGAACAACCTGTTTGCCTTTCACAGTCCTATAGGCTCAGAGTTAACTCTTATGTCAGAATCAGAATCAGAAATACTTAATAATCCCAGGGGGAAATTACTTTCGTTAATTAATTCGTTATGTGGCTTTTTAGTTACATTTCTGGTATCTAAATGGCTTACGTTTTGGTTTTAAAGAACTAAATCTGATGGGTTTATGAAGTTCATCTTTCTGCCCTGACAGCTGGATTGTTTACCTGTTACTGAGTTTTGTGGTAACGGGGAGGCAGGGCTTTTAATTTTTCATACATCACTTCATACTTTGTTCAAACAGACTGGCAGCCTCCTCATGTGATCAGTTTCTTTCTCCTTGTGGTTAGTGAATCTGGATTGTATTTCATTTTCTCACACTCAACCAATAAAAGTGGATGGTTTGCTCATCAGATGTTGGTTGATGGTTTTCACATGAGGGTCCAAACAGAACAAACTGCTAAAATGCAAAATTCCACCATTCAGTGTGTATATATATATATATATATATATATATAGGAAAGATACAAGGAAGTACAACACCATGACAATCATGTCATCAACATCATGGAAACAAACATTACCACAATCCTCAGTGCAACAACCATCCATCAACAAAAGCAGATACAAAGGAATTCCTGAATCTCTCTGAAGAGCAACTGGGCATAACAAGCCTGTCTCTAAAAAATTACTTGTACTTATTATCCTCATTTTGCTTCCTACCCATTCTTTGCACCATGACCACTTTTAGCGATCCAATAATACTATTATTAATAACATTTTACTCCCTCTTTCTTCAAATACAGTCTAGTCAATTTGTTGATGTTTGATGAAGCAAGACATCTGAGTTCTACTTTCTGTCAACAAATCATTCATTTCTGCATCAATAATTGACAGTTAATTAAGACAACTGTATTCACTGCTCATTTGTCAGTTATGTTCATAAGCTTATATCAACCACATTAGATCTCATACCAGACCATTTCCTGGTTTACTGTTGTATTTTTATTTGAAGAATCTTCCTTGTGGAAGACAGCCAAGTAGAAAAGGGGAATCAGAGTGAAAGAGAGTCTTTGGAAGTACCTGTTGGTATTAATTCACTGTCTTAATGCTGAGAGAGTAACACATTCACGATGTCGCTCTCTCTGCTTCTGCTGCTGCTGGTCTGCAGCACCCAGGCGACGGATTTTTATGGCACAGTGATGACCTATTACCCCAAAAACACTAATGCAGATGGATCTATGGCGGTACGTACAGTTTCATTCTAATCCAATTTATTCACCTTTTTAAATTTGATAGTAAACAGTATTTCTGGGTTGTAGAAACTACAGAAAATGTATTTGTATAAGAAAAAGTTAAGGGGATTCTCTATATTTTTCCAGCAGTTTTCTATTTCCACAAGGTTGTTGTTGTTTATCTATGGAACCTGGACCATGTGATAATAATGCTGTAATCTCAAGAAAACAAGATTTTATCAAGTCAACCGTATATGTACACATGTACCACACAAATTATTACATATTGGTGGTTGGCTATTAAAAAAGTGGGAGTTGCACCTTTTTGTGAACTTTTTTAAAGGGTCTTTCTGAGAAGCCCTGTCAAAAGGCCATTGTTATTGCATTCCTACTAGAAATAGAATCGTGAATGAGCTTTTCTAGATCGGCATTTGACATGAAGTCCCTGAGTTTGTTACCCTGTTACTCCTTTTGTTTAGACCAGAGTCAAAATGTTAACATCCATCATGAAAAAGTACATCTGCTGGATTTTGTAATAACAATATTTAATAATTCATCATGAAATGGAATTGTATGACATATTGCATTCATGCTGTTTATTACACAATGAAGTGAAAATATGTGACATTTTGTTGACTTCTTACACAATGTGTGGTTACACACGTCAATCCACAACCTTTATGTATCAAGGCTGTCATTAATACCATAACATGTCCTCACTGTAATACTAAAGGTAGTCCTTCGCTACAAGCTGAACTTCCACGATTGCAGAGATACAACCTCATGGTCTTGCAACATTGGCAATTGTGGGAATGAGAGCATAACATCTCATGTGGTAGACAAGGAGGACAGCAGAGTCTTCGCCACAACCAGCACGACACCAACTACCACCACACAAGCTACAACGATACAAACCACCATTCCCTCAATAACTACTGAGTTAACTACAACCAGAACTACAAAAACTACAACCACTACTCCACCCACAACAACTGCACCACCAACAACAACTACTGTACCAACTGTCACCACACAGGCTACAACAATACAAACCACCATTCCCTCACCAACTACCCAGTTAACTTCAACGACTGTCATTTCACCCACTCCCCAAAGTACAACCAATATTCCCTCAACAACTACCCCACTAACTACAACCAGCACTACACCAACTACAGCTGCTACTCCAACTACCACTACACAGGCTACGACTCAAACCGACATTCCTTCAACAACTACCCTCTCAACCACAACAACCACCATTCCCTCAACAACTACCCCACTAACTACAACCAGCTCTACACAAACTGCAACCACTACTCCACCCACAACAACTGCACCACCAACTACAACCAGTACTCCAGCCACAACAACTGTATCACCAACTACAACTACTGTACCAACTGTCACCACACAGGCTACAACGATACAAACCACCATTCCTTCAACAACTACCACTACAACCAGCTCTACACAAACTACAACCACTACTCCACCCACAACAACTGCACCACCAACTACAACCAGCACTGCACCAACTACAACTGCACCACCAACTACCACTACACAGGCAACCACTTCTCCAACCACAACAACTGCACCACCAACTACAACAACTACTGTACCAACTGTCACCACACAGGCTACAACGATACAAACCACCATTCCTTCAACAACTACCCAGTTAACTTCAACGACTATCACTTCACCCACTACACAAAATACAACCAATATTCCCTCAACAACTACCACTACAACGAGCACTACACCAACTACAACCACTACTCCACCAACAACAACTACTACTGTACCAACTGTCACCACACAGGCTACAACAATACAAACCACCATTCCCTCAACAACTACCACTACAACCAGCACTACACCAACTACAACAACTACTCCACCCACAACAACTGCACTACCAACTGCAACTACTGTACCAACTGTCAACACACAGGCTACAACAATACAAACCACCATTCCCTCAACAACTACCCAGTTAACTTCAACGACTATCATTTCACACACTCCACAAAGTACAACCAATATTCCCTCAACAACTACCCCACTAACTACAACCAGCACTACACCAACTACAACCACTACTCCACCCACAACAACTGCACCACCAACTACAACCAGCACTACACAAACTGCAACCACTACTCCACCCACAACAACTGCACCACCAACTACAACCAGCACTACACCAATTACAACTGCACCACCAACTACAACTACTGTACCAACTGTCACCACACAGGCTACAACGATACAAACCAGCATTCCCTCAACAACTACCCAGTCAACTACAACCATCACTACACCAACCACAACAACCAGACAAAATACAACCAATATTCCCTCAACAACTACCCTGCTAACTACAACCAGCACTACACCAACTACAACTGCTACACCAACTACTACTACACAGGCTACGACACAAACCGCCATTCCTTCAACAACTACCCTCTTATCCACAACAACCATCAATACACCAACCACGACAACCAGACAAACTACAACCACCATTCCCTCAACAACTACCCCACTAACTACAACCAGCTCTACACAAACTGCAACCACTACTCCACCCACAACAACTGCACCACCAACTACAACCAGTACTCCAGCCACAACAACTGTATCACCATCTACAACAATTACTGTACCAACTGTCACCACACAGGCTACAACGATACAAACCACCATTCCTTCAACAACTACCACTACAACCAGCTCTACACAAACTACAACCACTACTCCACCCACAACAACTGCACCACCAACTACAACCAGCACTGCACCAACTACAACTGCACCACCAACTACCACTACACAGGCAACCACTTCTCCAACCACAACAACTGCACCACCAACTACAACAACTACTGTACCAACTGTCACCACACAGGCTACAACGATACAAACCACCATTCCTTCAACAACTACCCAGTTAACTTCAACGACTATCACTTCACCCACTACACAAAATACAACCAATATTCCCTCAACAACTACCACTACAACCAGCACTACACCAACTACAACCACTACTCCACCAACAACAACTACTACTGTACCAACTGTCACCACACAGGCTACAACAATACAAACCACCATTCCCTCAACAACTACCACTACAACCAGCACTACACCAACTACAACAACTACTCCACCCACAACAACTGCACCACCAACTACAACTACTGTACCAACTGTCAACACACAGGCTACAACAATACAAACCACCATTCCCTCAACAACTACCCAGTTAACTTCAACGACTATCATTTCACCCACTCCCCAAAGTACAACCAATATTCCCTCAACAACTACCCCACTAACTACAACCAGCACTACACCAACTACAACTGCTACACCAACTACTACTACACAGGCTACGACTCAAACCGACATTCCTTCAACAACTACCCTCTCAACTACAACAACCATCAATACACCAACCACGACAACCAGCCAAACTACAACCACCATTCCCTCAACAACTACCCCACTAACTACAACCAGCTCTACACAAACTGCAACCACTACTCCACCCACAACAACTGCACCACCAACTACAACCAGCACTACACCAATTACAACTGCACCACCAACTACAACTACTGTACCAACTGTCACCACACAGGCTACAACGATACAAACCAGCATTCCCTCAACAACTACCCAGTCAACTACAACCATCACTACACCAACCACAACAACCAGACAAAATACAACCAATATTCCCTCAACAACTACCCTGCTAACTACAACCAGCACTACACCAACTACAACTACTACACCAACTACCACTACACAGGCTACGACACAAACCGCCATTCCTTCAACAACTACCCTCTTATCCACAACAACCATCAATACACCAACCACGACAACCAGACAAACTACAACCACCATTCCCTCAACAACTACCCCACTAACTACAACAAGCACTACACCAACTACAACCACTAATCCACCCACAACAACTGCACCACCAACTACAACCAGTACTCCAACCACAACAACTGCATCACCATCTACAACAATTACTGTACCAACTGTCACCACACAGGCTACAACGATACAAACCACCATTCCTTCAACAACTACCACTACAACCAGCTCTACACAAACTACAACCACTACTCCACCCACAACAACTGCACCACCAACTACAACCAGCACTGCACCAACTACAACTGCACCACCAACTACCACTACACAGGCAACCACTTCTCCAACCACAACAACTGCACCACCAACTACAACAACTACTGTACCAACTGTCACCACACAGGCTACAACGATACAAACCACCATTCCTTCAACAACTACCCAGTTAACTTCAACGACTATCAATTCACCCACTACACAAAATACAACCAATATTCCCTCAACAACTACCACTACAACCAGCACTACACCAACTACAACCACTACTCCACCAACCACAACTACTACTGTACCAACTGTCACCACACAGGCTACAACAATACAAACCACCATTCCCTCAACAACTACCACTACAACCAGCACTACACCAACTACAACAACTACTCCACCCACAACAACTGCACCACCAACTACAACTACTGTACCAACTGTCAACACACAGGCTACAACAATACAAACCACCATTCCCTCAACAACTACCCAGTTAACTTCAACGACTATCATTTCACCCACTCCCCAAAGTACAACCAATATTCCCTCAACAACTACCCCACTAACTACAACCAGCACTACACCAACTACAACTGCTACACCAACTACTACTACACGGGCTACGACTCAAACCGACATTTCTTCAACAACTACCCTCTCAACTACAACAACCATCAATACACCAACCACGACAACCAGCCAAACTACAACCACCATTCCCTCAACAACTACCCCACTAACTACAACCAGCTCTACACAAACTGCAACCACTACTCCACCCACAACAACTGCACCACCAACTACAACCAGCACTACACCAATTACAACTGCACCACCAACTACAACTACTGTACCAACTGTCACCACACAGGCTACAACGATACAAACCAGCATTCCCTCAACAACTACCCAGTCAACTACAACCATCACTACACCAACCACAACAACCAGACAAAATACAACCAATATTCCCTCAACAACTACCCTGCTAACTACAACCAGCACTACACCAACTACAACTACTACACCAACTACCACTACACAGGCTACGACACAAACCGCCATTCCTTCAACAACTACCCTCTTATCCACAACAACCATCAATACACCAACCACGACAACCAGACAAACTACAACCACCATTCCCTCAACAACTACCCCACTAACTACAACAAGCACTACACAAACTACAACCACTACTCCACCCACAACAACTGCACCACCAACTACAACCAGTACTACACCCACAACAACTGCACCACCAACTACAACAATTACTGTACCAACTGTCACCACACAGGCTACAACGATACAAACCACCATTCCTTCAACAACTACCACTACAACCAGCACTACACCAACTACAACCACTACTCCACCCACAACAACTGCACCACCAACTACAACCACTGTACCAACTACCACTACACAGGCTACAACGATACAAACCACCATTCCCTCAACAACTACCACTACAACCAGCACTACACCAACTACAACCACTACTCCACCCACAACAACTGCACCACCAACTACAACAACTACTGTACCAACTACCACTAGACAGGCTACAACGATACAAACCACCATTCCCTCACCAACTACCCAGTTAACTACAACAACCACCACTACACCAACCACGACAACCACACAAATTACAACCACTAGTGTCCAGACGGGCAATGGAGAGTGGTGTCAGACAGAGGGAATCATGACTCGACAGGTTCCCAGCAATGCTCCGTTTCGGCTGTGGTGAGTACACAATTCAAATTTTAGTGAGAGCCAAAAATGTAACTTTATTCCTAAAAGCTTGAGATAATCAAAATGTCTTCATTTAAGGTTCTGAAAAGAAACCCCCCTTCATTGCCACCAAGCAGGTCGTGAATTGATTTAACCCTTACATACTGTTCAGGTCAAAATGGACCCGTCTTGACATTTGACAGCAGTAAAAATAGCCTACATGTCATTCTTACAACCTGAAATTTGATGATATGGGTCAAATCAAGGAAAATGGTTGTTCTAGGGAATCTTGAAACTTTGAAACTGTATATTCTGTCTATGTGTATTTTATGGGACAGCTTGGGGGGACTGTTCGCCCAAGTTCCCCCAGGGACAGGCCCCTGCTGGTCTTGGGGGGCCATGGGGAAACCTTGAAACAGTGAAATAGTTAAACAGCATAGGAGTGGTCATATATGGTGCACATAAGAAACAAAGGTCATACAGAGGTCAGAGGGTGCCTTGACACATAGACTTGCACCTGCATCTGCAGCCGCATAATCTAAAAATAGACAAATTAGAATCAAATCAATGTGTGTGTGTGTGTGTGTGTGTGTGTGTGTGTGTGTGTGTGTGTGTATGCACAAAGGTACAAAAGATAAGGAGATGCAACCTCTGCTCTCCAAAAAAGGACTGCAAAACAGGGACAAGCTGCATGTGGGAAGCACATTTGCAAGTCCCACACACGCAAAGTTTCCTACTACTGCATTGAATGCACTGACGAGTTTGCAACAACCATGTTTTATGTGTTGTGTTTCAAATCTTCTTTCCGACCACTCAAAGCGCTTTTACATTCAGCCTTTCACACACATTCACGCAGCGATGGCAAAGTCCATCGAACAGAAACTAACATTCATACACATTCACATTCGGGAGCAATTTGGGGTTCAGTATCTTGCTCAAGGATACTTCGACATGTGGCACCAGGAGCCAGGGATCGAACCCACAACCTTCCGATTAGGAAACGACCCGCCCTACCTCTGAGCCACAGCCACCTTATGTTAAGTTAATATTGATAATTGCTGTTAATATAATGATATTGCAGTAAGGACAGTGTCCAATGGTTGCAATAGATATGTGGTTTTGGTATTATAACAGTTCCAGAATGTTCTTGCCATTTTCACTATTAATAAAATATATTTAAATCATTAGGGCTGTTATGTTTTCATGTCTTAGGTAAAACAGGACATGATAACGTGTGATATAGGTGTTTTTTTTCTCCAAATACGAGTGGTGAAAGAACTAAAAAATACACTCTCATGCTATCTAAAATCATAAATTAAGGAATAATAATGAATTTATTAATGTAAGATAGGCTTTTTACATATTCTAAATAGATCTGTAGTTCAAAATATGGTATAGACACTTTCAGAGGACTTTCTTGGACCGGGTCAAAGTTGACCTGAACCATACTGTGAAGGCACTGGATGTGAACAGTTTGTAAGGGTTAAATACGTAGGCTGTGGCGTCCCAACAATACAGTTCAAACATTTTGTTGTCTCTGGTGGCTTCATGCAAAACCAGTATTCATTATCACACCTTGAATCAATATATTTAGCTGTATACACCTACAATACATTTGTACCCTCAGGTTCTGTTTACCACCATAAAAACTGACTTTCTCATCCACTTCTACCACAGGTTACAAGGTGGTGACTGGATAGCTAACATATATGGCATTGGAATGTGGACAGCTGTGACTCAGGTGGAGCTGAGGAACCGGTCAGACACCGGCAAAGCCAACACGTCACCCCAAACCACCATACTTCCAGCTGTGCGGTAAACCTACTCACTATTTCTGTTTCTATCTTTTTGTTTGTAATTACATAACTTGTGTATTTAAATCATTTTATGTGTCACAGTTCCACATCAGTATATCAGGAGCAGTTTCAGTTCCTTACATAGTCTATTGACTATTACTAATTACCTATTATATGCAACAAGGTCAGATGTTTCATCAATTATCTTCATATATTAACTCCAAAACTGTCATCTATCAGTAACTTCTGAACTGCCATTTTTCAGGTTCACAGGAGTTTAATTTTTAAATTGGCTATGGGACGTGAGCTATCTATTACTTTCCCTAGGTGTTGCAAATCTATGTTCTATGACTGTTGTAGGGCATTATTGGAAATGTTGACACAAAGATTTCCATTTTTACTGGCAATGTGTATTGGTTCTAATCCGCTTCCTAAATTACTAATGATCAGTATCTGCTTCTGCCCTGAAATAAAAAACATTTTGGTTGATTATTAATTGTTTTGTTTATGACCAGAAAAAAATCGTAAAATTACTTCTTTGTTGAAAAAACATGTTTAAAAGGATTTAAGTTCTAAAAGGCAAATTCAGTTTCCTTTTGAAAACAAGAACAAATTTACATTGGAATAGAGTGCTGCGCACATGGTTTACACGGACAGTAATGGAGGAGTGGCACAATGTCGAAATGTTTTCTTTCTCTTTATTTCAGAGTTCCTTCAAACTGTCAGAGAGATTACAACCTGCTGGCGTTTGACCCTGACGGAGACGAGGTTAAATGCAGATATGGAAGCGCATCACTGTCGGAGTGTGACATCTGCACGCCACCGTCTGTTCTCATCTTCTCATCAGTGAGTAGCCAAAGTAACTCTTATTTAAATTAATATTGTGCTTTATAACAACCTGGGCAGATAACTATGAGTGTTGAAGAAATTACAGTGGAACAGGAAAGGCCCGAACTAGAGTCAAAGTTTGTTTTTTCTGTTCTTGGTTCATTTGACTTCATGTCCCCTTTCGTCCTCTTTCAGTCTTGTACTCTGTCATTCAGCCCCACCAATAGCAGTAATGAAGGTGCATACGTTGTACAACTGGTGATGGAGGACTTTCCCAGGCAGAATATCATCCTGACTCAGACTGACGGTTTGCAGGTGGCGAGATCTACAAACGACTCTATCAGCAAAATACCTGTACAGTTTGTTATAAGGGGTAAGAGTTCTTGTTTTGGAACCCTGGACTTGAGTAGTTGATATTCTGTGAGTGAAAACAGTTGGTTTTTTGAGTTTATGTTAACAATATATATAAATGACATGGCAATGAATCTTGTTTAACATGCTGATGTTTAGAGGGTAACAAACTTTGTGATAATAACTCATTATCTGGGAACCATGATTGTCCATGCCAAAGTTTGTTCCAACCTACACAGTACTTAGTATACTGAATAAGTAAAAAACTTGACCTGCTGGTGGTAGAAGTGAAGAGTCAGGGGACCACCAAAGACATTCTCTGGGAGTCATCAATGTAATTTTATGGAAATTCAACAGTTGCTGAGATATTCTAGTCTGGACCAAAGTGGTACAGACTGATGGGTGGATGGACCAACCAGCACTGCCACCCTTAGGAAACCTCAACATAGCTAAAATGTTTTTTCTTATTGTTCTAGTTGACCCTGTGGTGACATCCTGCACTGAGGGACTTTATCTGCCCAAGTTTCTGCCTCCAACCCCAGCCAACAGAGCTCGGCTGTACGCTCCTGCCAATCAGACCCTGGAAATCAGCATCAAGGCAGAGGCAAATGTCTCCACGTAAGTTGAAAATAAAACTAATAACTAACTTTAATGTTAATGATGCCGTGGTGGAACTGGTTAGATAAGAAATATTTTGCTCCACATTAAGACAGGGTTGCATACACAAATGGTTTTCAAGTGCACAGTTACTTGTGTAACTCCAACACTAATGCAAAAAACAGGTTTGACATGAATGCAACGCGTGTAACAGAACTAACTGTGTAGTGCTGTTAGGATATACGCAAACAGTATGTTAAATATAGACCGCAGTATGCATTCAAAGCCAAAAGAAAAGATAACAAACTTCCTATATTGTGTGTAAGGAGCTGTTGACTTTGTACCGCCTTGGTTTCACAAGCTTAGAGCTTTAAAAGATAATACGCAACAACCAAACAATAGAATCAGCAGCACATCTGACTCACCAAAACTCAACCAGTTCTACAACCACTGTTATGAAGGAAACAACATAAAAAATAAATACCAAGTGAGAATTCCAATTGTGCCGTCAAGGAAATTAGATTATGCCATTTGTGGGTGGGGAGGTTTTGGAAATTCTTTTCTAACAACTGACTTCTTCTTCTGTTGGTTACAGAATTAATGAGCTGCTGTTCAGCGGGCCGTACAACACAAACCAGATTAATTCAGGAGTAGGACAGTACATCCTGAGATGGACGCCGTCTGAAAACGAAGATGGAGAAAGCCACCCCATCTGCTTTGTCATCCAGGCAAATATCAAGTCAGTCACTTCTCCCTGAACGTGTCCCTGTTTGACGACAGGAAATAAAGTACTGAGGTGTGTCTGAGGTTTGGCTCCTGCCACCCAGGGGCTTAGTCAGCTAACTAGCCAACAGCATCTAACATTGTTGGCAACAAAGCTTCTTCATAAATTCTTGAAACTCCGGAAATCACTTCAGTACCGCTGTTGTCAAACTGCCCTGTCTCGGGGGTTGTCTTCAATGAGTTAAAATTACATTTTTCATTTCACCTGGACTTTAAAATGGAAGAGACTTCAAAGACTTCAAAGAGACTTTGAAGATCTTGAAATGTCTGAAAATGATTTCTGACGTCATTTTTTTAAAAAAAATAAAACTGTACTAATTTATTGTTGCAGTTCAACCAAGTATCACTCGGAGCTACGATGTGTGATTGTGAGTGTTGGAAACGGTGAGTGGAACCATTCTTTATTTTTTGTGTTTTAAATTACATTGCTGATTTCCTGGATTGGTGAAGTTGACTTGTCATCTATCCTTTAAATATTCACTTCTGTTTACAGCCCCAACAACTACAACCATTGATCCAACAACACCAGGAGCTACAATCGCCATCATTACACCAACTACACAAAGTACAACCACCATTCCTACAACCACTACCCCATCCACAACTACTCCACCACAAATTACAACTACTGCACCAACTACCACCACTACCCCATCCACAACAACTACACCACAAATTACAACAACTACCCCATCCACCACAACTACACCACAAATTACAACAACTACACCACCAACTACAACCACTACCCCATCCACAACAACTACACCACAAATTACAACTACAACACCAACTACAACCACTACCCCATCCACAACAACTACACCACAAATTACAACTACACCACCAACTACAACCACTACCCCATCCACAACAACTACACCACAAATTACAACAACTACCCCATCCACCACAACTACACCACAAATTACAACAACTACACCACCAACTACAACCACTACCCCATCCACAACAACTACACCACAAATTACAACTACAACATCAACTACAACCACTACCCCATCCACAACAACTACACCACAAATTACAACTACACCACCAACTACAACCACTACCCCATCCACAACTACTACACCACAAATTACAACAACTACACCACCAACTACAACCACTACCCCATCCACAACAACTACACCACAAATTACAACTACACCACCAACTACAACCACTACCCCATCCACAACAACTACACCACAAATTACAACAACTACACCACCAACTACAACCACTACCCCATCCACAACAACTACACCACAAATTACAACTACACCACCAACTACAACCACTACCCCATCCACAACAACTACACCACCAACTACAACCACTACCCCATCCACAACAACTACACCACCAACTACAACCACTGCACCATCCACAACTAATACAACAGCAAGTCCACCACCTGGTTCTACACCTGACCAAACAACACCTGTAACCGAAGCCTCGAACCAAAGTGAGTATGACAAATCGGGATGCTTTGCAGTATGTTATCACCTCTTATGAATAGATACATAAACAGGACTACAAGTGACAAGTGGAAGATTTAAGAACAATGACACTTGAACTGAAATGGAAGATCTAAGAGACTCTGTGCATTATTATTCAGTTTGACCACATTGTAATGTTGAGTCATTGTGCTTCTAGTTGTTGCAGCTCTGAAAATAAGGATTTCCTCTACGTCTCCCCTGTCTGAGGACGACATCAGGAACACAGTTATACAACAGGTCAGTCTCTTTTTAAGTAAATGAGAAATCCTGTCGAAGCATCAGATAATTGCTTCTGCTGGGACGAGTTGCAGCTTTAATTATATGCCAACCTATGGTATTTGATAGTCAATTTGAAATATTACAGTATATGCCTCCTACAAACACTTCTGATGATTCAGAAGTACTATACAATCGTAACAATCATTGTTTTTTAAATTAACCTCCCCCCAAGTTATAGTCAGTATTTAGCCGATGTTGCAGTTTTTTACACTCAATTTTAAAATAAACCAAAGCTGAAAGTTTCTTTTAACTGTATGTGACATACCTTTATAATTAAAGGAGAAAGTCAATTGTATTTCTGTTAATGAACTCACTTGACTTTTGACAAATGTGCGTGGTTGTTGGTGAAACGGCTGCACTGTAACTGCCACTGTGTGTTTTCTCCTCCAGATTAAAGATGAACTGGTGAGACGATGGCTGCCATCAGACATCACTCTACGCCTTGTGAGTTATGTGCAACTGCAACGTGCAACCGCAGCGCCCTCTGTTGTTTCAACGTGATCATTTATTGACTTCTGGAAGGATCATTTATTTCCAGTCAACCAAAGTCAGAACTGCAAGCTCAGCTGTGTCAATGTGACCATAGTTATATGACTATACAGGTGTTTTTGATAAAAAATGTGAATCTGGTGATTATTTTGCAGTTTTACACTGTGTGACCAGAATGTGGTTGTAATTATCACTTGACTGTATGAATGTAAAAACATGTTCCTGGTCAAATCTGCTAACAGAATTGAGTTTATGTGACTTAAACATGTCAACAACCAACTGAACAAAGATTAGCATCTCAACGACCACTACAAAAATGTATCCATATTATATTACAACATTTATATAAAAATTAAAAACACATTTGTCCATTCAGAAAGTACATTTTCAAGAGTGTTGTTTTCACAATGCTCTAACACCCACAAACCATTAAAATATGCCACAAAAGCAAAGATTTCCATCAAACAACACAATTAGTGGTCAAATTAATGTATTCTTTCAATCATTCTTTACACAATGATACAACAACAAAATACAGCTATCAGTATAAACCCGTTCAACCTTAATTTGTGCTTTAGGCCTGTGCCATTTGTTGATACTACTTATATTATATTCTCTTCTTACCTGAGATAACTCTGCTGCACCTTTTTTACTTTTTTAAAATGTTGAAATAATAATAAAAAAAGACATTTCTGATAAAGTTTTCATTCATTTTATTGTTGTGTGCTTTGTGTGATTGTGTGATTAAAAGTTGTACAATGTGTTGTGAACAGGCAGGGGGAGCCACTGCTAAAAGAGTGACACATCTGTCTGATTACAGCCTCAGTGACAGTTCTTGTTCATCAGTTGCTTCACTTTAGATCTCTGTAAAGAACTGGTCCGTCTACTTGAGCCAGTTCAAGCCTCGATGAGTCTAAAGCAGTGACATTATGTCTGATGATGGAGCTCTGCGGCTCATTTGTTTCAATACTGGTGGATGTCAGCGCTGTCTGAGCTTTCTGTGGATCTGAGATAACGATGTGATGTTACAGGCATTTGATTTTTGATGATTTTGGAGCTGATAGAAGGCTAAACGTGGTCCTACAATAAGAGCTATGACAATTATTGCATCTTCCATAATTATTACATATGTTTGTATTTTTGCGCACTGTACCTCTCTACCACCTATTATGCTGCTTATGTATATAATATAATAATTTATTTTTATTTGTTTTGTATACATGTAAACAAATAAAATATGAAAAAAGATCTAAAAATGTTCTAAGGCAATTGGAGAACAGTCAAACTAATATCAGTAATTCTTTGAAGATCTGTTGATGATTTCAGGATTTTTGAATTCACATGTGGCCCCTCAGACAATCGGAAAAGCATCTTAAAACAAATTCATTATCATCAAATTAGATGAAATTGTGTAATTTTTTCTGTATTGTTGTTGTTTCACTCTGTTGGTAGCACTCAGCGTTTGGATTATGTATGAAACATAATTTCAAAAATATATTGAATACTTTGAGGAACCATCATCATAATGAGTATTATAAACCAGCAGAAATTGGCTATAGCTCAGTATAGAGAGTCTGCAACTATTGATATGACTTAGATACTTTTCCTGTGTAATATCTACTTGCTTGCGATCACAATAACACAGCAGCATGACAGAGCTTTTCAGTTGAATTTTCCTTGGTATCTAAATTACCATAATGCTGCTGGGCCCGGCCCTCCACACCGTCACACCCACAGGGAAAAAGAGGCAGAGAGGTACTTAGGGAGTGGCAGCAGGTTTGGTAGAATCATGACAGAACATGTTTAGTTCCGGGTTTAAAGAACTAAATATGACAGGTCTATGAAGTACTACACCTTTCTGCTCTGACAGCTGGATTGTTTACCTGTTTCTGAGATTTTCAGCTTTTTGTGGTAATGGCGAGGCAGAGATTTTACGTTCACTTGGCAGCCTCCTAATGCAATCACTTTCTTTGTTGAAAGATAGAAGTTGAAAGATACTCCCTCACGGTTAGTGAATCTGGATTGTATTTCATTTCCTCACACTCACCCAATAAAAAAGGACAGTTTGCTCATCAGACGTTTTCGGAGACAGTGATGGTTTTCACATGAGGGTCCAAACAGAACAAATGTTTATATAGGAAAGATACAAGGAAGTACAACACCATGACAATCAATCATATCATCAACATCAACATATTCATGGTCATCAACATTACCACAATCCTCAGTGCACAACCATCCATCAACAGCAGCAGATACAAAGGAATTCCTGAATCTCTCTGAAGAGCAACTGGGCATAAAAAGCCTGTCTCTAAAAACATTACTTACTTAATTATTATCCTCATTTTGCTTCCTACCCATTCACTATGACCACTTTTAGCAAGCCAATAATACCGTTATATAAAAACATTTTACTCCCTCTTTCTTCAATCCACACACAATGTTTGGTGCATACTTTGGATAAAATGCAAATACAATCTAGTCAATTTGTTAAAAAAAAAGGAACATGTTTGATGATTCGAAAAGCAAGACATCTGATTTCTACCTTCTGTCAACAAATAATTTCTGCACTATTGACAGTTAAGACTACTGTATTCACTGCCCATTTGTCAATTCTGTTCATTATCTTATATCAACAACAACATGTCCTCATACCAGACCATTTCCTGGTTTATTGTTTCAATTTAAAGAGGACAGCCAAGTGGAAGGGGGGAGACAGAGTGAAAGAGAGGCAGTCTTTGGAAGTACGTGTTGGTATTAATTCACTGTCTTAATGTTGAGAGAGTAACACATTCACGATGTCGCTCTCTCTGCTTCTGCTGCTGCTGGTCTGCAGCACCCAGGCGAGTCATTTTTATGGGACAGTGATGACCTACTACCCCAAAAACACTAATGCAGATGGATCTATGGCGGTACGTACAATTTCATTCAATCCAGTTTATTCACCTTTTTAAATGTTACCAGAGTTATAAAAGTATTTCTGGAATGTAGAAACTAAGGAAAATGTTGTATTTTTTAAAGAAAAACATTATTTATATTTTTTTAAAATGTAATGTACAACAAGAGTTTAAAATTTTTCCTTTTTTTGTGAACTTTTTGATGATCTTGAAATGAGTTTGGCAGAATTTGTAAGATGATAACAAGCTGATCTTGTAAAGGCTTTTGGCTGTTTAGACCAAAGTCAACTATAATGCAAATGGGGTTTAATTTAGGTTAATTCTTAGAAATTGTAATGTGTACAGATGAAGACTTCCATTGTGGTTGGTTATTACATAATACAGTGTATTACATTGTCATCATAAAAAAGTGGAACTGCGTTCACTACAAAATGTAATTGTTATTAAATAGTAAAGTGAAAATACATTACATTTAGTTGAGTTATTTCATAATGTGTTGTTACACATGGCAATAAACAACCTTTATTTATTACGGAGGCTGTCATTAATATCATAACACATCTTCATTCTAATACTACAGGTGGTTGTTCGCTATAAGCTGAACTTCCACGATTGCACACATAAAGACTCATGGACCTGCAGTGGGAATTGTGGGACACAATCATGGGACTGCTCTGGTAACTGTTTACACGAGGTAGACAGGGAGGACAGCGGAGCCCTGTCGGGCAACGGAGAGTGGTGTCAGACAGAGGGAATCATCTCTCAACAGGTTCCCAGCAACGCTCCGCTTGAGCTGATGTGAGTGCACCATGACAATCCAAAAGTTACATTATTTCAGACAGACAAACATTTTCCAAAATGTCAACAATGACACTAAATCTTTTGAGGCTCTGGAAGGAAACCCTTCTTAATCGCCACCAAACAAGTAATCAATGGATTTAAATACTTAATTTGTGGCATCACAAACACACCTTGTATAAATATCTTTAGTACACTGAGGTTCTGTGCAGCACAGTAAAAACTGACTTTCTCATTTACTTCCACCAACAGGTTAAATGGTGGTGACTGGATATCTAATAGACATAACATCTATTATTAACTATTGAACTTATACATACATACTGTCATGATATCTAACCTGCTGCCACTCCCTAAGTACCTATATGCCTCTATTTTCCTGTTTTTTATTTATTATTTAAGTTCTTTTTGTGAGTGCACTCTTGAGACTAACTCAACACCTGAAATACATAAGTACATAAGATTCTGTGAATCACAATAACTTTCTAATGAAATTCCACCACAGGTTAGATGGTGGTAACTGGATAAATAACATCGTAAATGGCATTGTATCATGGAGAGCTGTGACTCGGGTGGAGCTGAGGAACCGGTCAGACACCGGAAAAGCCAACACATCACCCCAAACCACCATATTGCCTGCTGTGAGGTGAACTGCTGGGTAGCTTACTCTGTAATAATAAATAATAATTAATTAGATTATTATAATATTGTATTGATCAGAATCTGCAAAGTAACTAGTAACTACTGTTATGAAATAAATGTAGTGGAGTAAAA